CATATACATAAACGAACCGGCACACATGCCTGCACAAATGCCTGTACATCTACATATATATGTATATATATATATATACAACTACATATACCTATATATATATATATGAATACACACATACATCTACATATACATATATACATCTCTCGATAAATAAGGCAGCCGAAGCAGGAGCCAGGGAGGCCGAGCCCCGAACAGGATGCAGGAGCGGGAGGCACTCCCTCAGGCCCTCCTCCTCCCTCCCTCCTCGTCACTTCGTCCTTATTCTCCTCCTCATCCTCCTCCTCCTCCTCTCCTCCTCATTCTCCTCCTCCACCTCCCTCCCTCCCTCCCTCCCTCCCCTCCCTCCCCTCCCCTCCCCTTCCTCCCTCCCCCCCCTCCCTCCCCTCCCTCCCTCCTTCCCTCCCCTTCCCTCCCCCTCCCCTCCCTCCCCTCCCCCTCCCCCTCCCCTCCTGCTCCTCATCCTCCTCCTCATCCTCCTCCTCCTCCTCCTCCTCTCTCCTCCTCCTCCTCCTCCTCCTCCTCCTCCTCCTCCTCCTCAGCCTCCCCGTCCTCCTCCTCCTCCTCCTCCTCATCCTCCTCCTCTCTCCTCCCTCCTCCTCCTCCTCCTCACCCCTCCTCCTCCTCCTCCTCCTCCTCCTCCTACTCTCCTCCTCCTCCTCCTCCTCCTCCTCCCCTCCCCTCCCCCTCCCTCCCCCTCCCCCTCCCCCTCCCCCTCCCCCTCCCCCCCTACCCCCTCTCCTCCTCCTCCTCCTCCTCCTCATCCTCCTCCTCCTAATCATACTCATCCTCCTCCTCCTCCACATCCTCCTCTCTTCCTCCTCCTCCTCCTTCCTCTCCTCCTCATGCCTGGGTTCCTCCTCCTCCTCCTCTCCTCATCATTCCTCATCCTCCTCCTCCTCCTCCTCCTCCTCCTCCTCCTCAGCAATCAGCATCATCATCATCATCAAATCATCATCATCAGTAATCATCATCATCATCATCATCATCATCATCAGCAGCAGCAGCATCATCATCCATAATCAGAAACATAATCAGAATCAGCCGCATCATCAGCATAATCATCATCATAGTATAATTGCATCATCATCATCATCATCAGCATCATCATATCATCATCATCAGCGAAGCAAGCAGGCATCATCATCATCAGCAGCATCGGCATCAATTCAGCATCCATCATCATCAGCATCATCATCATCAGCAACAGCATCATCATCATCATCATCAGCATCAGCAGCATCATCAGCATCATCATCATCATCATCATCATCAGCATCAGCATCATCATCATCATCACCACCACCACCACCATCATCATCACCACCACCACCACCACCATCATCATCAGCAGCAGCAGCAGCAGCATCATCATCCTCATCATCATCATCATCATCATCAGCAGCAGCAGCATCAGTATCCTCACCCTCATCCTCATCAACATCAGCAGCAGCATCAGCAGCAGCATCAGCATCAGCATCAACATCAGCATCAGCATACTCATCATCATCATCATCCTCATCATCATCATCATCATCATCATAAACAGAATCGTCAACATCGTCATCATAAGAATCATCATCAGCATCATCAGCACCATCATCATCCTCATCATCATCAGGAGCAGCATCAGCATCAGCATCAGCATCATCATCATCAGCATCATCATCAACCCCTTCCTCCTCATCATCCTGGCGCTGTAGATGCATGTATGGGCAGTGCTAGCGTGTTGCCCATCGCTCACTGCGCTGCTCTCTGCTTGTCTCATTGCTTGGGCGCGCTCGTCGACTCGAGACCTCCTCCTCGCTCCCAGTCCGCGCAGGGGCCGCCCCAGGCCCGCCTTTCGGACGAGGCGCCCAGCGAGAAAGTGAACGTCGCCGGCATGGACGCGTAGCCCTCGGGGTTGGAGGGCAAAGTCTACCTGCTTTATTGAAGACCAATGTCTGGGGCACATGCCAAGTACCGTTCTCATGTTCAAGTCACAAGTGTCTATTGCCACCGTGGGTGTTGCTACGTAGGCAGACACATTCGGGGTGGATGCATCTATAGACAACGCGGCTGTTGCGCTCAGCGCAAAACAAGGTTGGAGAAAGGGTAGATCCGTCTACGGTTTTTCCTGTTCTGAAGCAGGCCCCACATGGTACCCACCCCCGACGTCGAACCCCAAAGGTCTGGACCCTTTCCCTGGGACCGGTTTTTCACTCTAAGAAATCATTTGACGGTCCCAAAACCCACTGGGGCCGTCGGTGGAGCCCCCAATGGGGCCACGGAACGCTGTACAGGGTTTGCGGGACGCATGCGGGCACCCCCACTGGGGCCTTCAGTGGAGCCCACTATGGGGCCACGAAACGCTGTACTGGGTGGGGGGACGCATGCGGGCACCCCCACTGGGGCCGTCGGTGAGGCTCCCTGTGGGGCCACGAAACGCTGTATTAGGTGGAGGGACGCACGCGGGAAACCCCACTCGGGCCGTCGGTGGAGCTCCCCATGAAGCCGCGAAAAGCTGTACTGGGTGGGGGGGACGCATGCGGGCACCCCCAGGGGGCCTTCAGTGGAGCTCCCTATGGGGCCACGAAACGCTGTACTGGGTGGGGGGACATATGCGGGCACCCACTGGGGCTGTCGGTGGAGCTCCCTATGGGACCACGAAACGCTGTATTAGGTGGGGGGGGGGCGCATGCAGGTACCCCCACTGGGGCCTTCGGTGGAGCTCCCTATGGGGCTACGAAACGCTGTACTGGGTGGGGGGGACGCATGCTGGCACCCCCCCTGGGGGCCTTCGGTGGAGCCCCCAGTGGGGCCACGAAACGCTGCTGTACTAGGTGGGGGGGCGCATGCAGGCACCTCCACCGGGGCCGTCGGTGAAGCTCCCTATGGGGCCACTAAACTCTGTACTGGGTGGGGGGGACGCATGCGGGCACCCCCACTGGGGCCGTCGGTAAAGCTCCGTACGGGGCCACGAAACTCTGCACAGGGTGGGGAGGACGCACGCGGGCACCCAAACTGGGGCCACCGGTGCAGCTCCCTATGGGGCCACGAAACGCTGTACTGGGTGGGGGGAACGCAGGGAAGAGGGAGCAGGGGGAGGAGGGGGAGGAGGAGGGGGAGGAGGAGAGAGGAGAGAGGAGGAACGCGGGGACCGTCTCTTCAAAACGAAGACCCAACACCACAGGGTGGTCGGGAAAATGCTGAAAACTAATGATATTTGGCGGCCTCATTGACCTAATTAGTTGGAAACGAAGCGTCTTTCCTTACTGGTCACCGATGCCGCCACTCCTCGGACCTCTCCAAGGATGCGCTCTGACCAGAGTTTCGAGGGGTATCCAGCCGCGGCGACGAGAGTTCTCTGGGCCGGGCAGCGGCACTGCTACCTTTTCCTCCCCTGACATCCTCGCTGCAGGCATAGGGGATCGCCATCTTATCCAAGCCCCTGCTCACGCATACTCCACGAGGAGGAGGAGCGGGGGCATGGACATCCAGCCTCTGGAAACCAAGCGTTTGTAAACACTCCCTGGCCCCACCCCATGGCAGCCAGAGTGGAGGCAGCAGAAGGGATATGGATCGAACGCCGATCCCCCACGACCGCGCAGGCTGGTGTCCTTGCTCAGCAGGTCCACGACCTGATCTCTGCTGACGCGCGGCTCGGGCTGCGTGAAGAACTCGATAGACGCCAGGCCACCGATCCCTTCGTGCGGGAAGAGGCTGGGGTATGGGATGCAGAGGGGTGCGAGGAGGAGGCGGAAGGAGAAGGAGGCAGAAGGAGGAGGAGGAGCAGGAGGATGGGAGGGGAGGGTGGGGGGAGAAGGGTGTCGATGGGGGGGGAGCTCACACTCCAGCGCGAGACATCGCCATTTGGTCGGGCACACGAAGACGTGGATTACGAACTCATAGATCTGACGCATGGGCGCCAGATACACGGATCGGGGAAGGTACTCCTGAAACATGAGGCCAATGCCGCCTGATTTGGCGACGGAGTCTCCTCCCCATCCTCCCTTCCTCCACCATCACCTCCTCCTCCTCCCTTCCTTCTCCGTACAAATAACTCCTCCCTGTCGCACCCTGAGGCCGGTCGAAAGGGCGGGCCAGGCGTTTCGCCTGAGACGTCCTCACCACTTATTGCCCTGAAGCTAATAAATTGACAGCAGCTTCACAGATGGAGGGCGGGTCGCTTCCAAAATGTGATGTTCGCCTTAGCGACGCGCACATTCGTTTGAAAAATGCAATGGTGTCCCAGATTGAGGGCGGCTCGTTTTCAAAATGTAGCTCTCGCCTTAGCGCTGCACACGTTCGTTGTTAAAAAATGCAAGAGCTTCCTGGACTGAGGGCGGTTGTTTTTTTTGATGTTGACCTCACCTAAGCCCCGCACGCACTCGTCTTTGAAATGTGCAGGAGCTTCACGGATTGAGGGCGACTGGTTTTCTAAATGTGGCTCTCGCCCTAGCGCCGCGCACATTCGTTATGGAAAAGATCGGAAGAGTTTTGCGGATTCCCATGGTCAACGTACCAGATATGGTGTTTACAAAGACTCAGGATTGTGAGGGTGCAGCAGTAACGTTGGTTCGCGGCGTTGAAGTCATAGGAATGGTGTTCTGGCGCGATTCAGGATCGTCAAGACGCAACAGTCAAATTGATCCGTAGCGTTGGAGTGCCATGAACGGTGTTTGGGCACGCTTCAGGGTCTTCAAATGGTTGTCTCCCAACGAGGCAGTTCCCTGTGGAAATGAAACCCTGTAGAGGCATCTGAAGAGGGAGCTTAATGGAAGGGTTTATTCCAACATCGTAACGTGAGTCTTGGGTTTACACTGGTCCTCCTCCTCCTCCTCCTCATCTTCATCCTCATCCTCATCCTCATCCTCATCCTCGTCGTCCTCTTCCTCCTCCTCCTCCTCCTCCTCCTCCTCCTCATCCTACTCCTCCTCCTTCCTCTGCTCCTTCCTCCTCCCTGCTCCTGCTGTCTCCTCCCTCCTCACGCTCCTCCGGCTCAACCCTCCTCGATCCTGCCCCGCCCCTGGCCCACCAGCCACAGCGCGGTGGCGGACGTGCGCGGCAGCGCAACCAGGTGGAGGGAGGTGGAGCAGGCGGAGGAGGGGGGGCCGAGGCGAAGTCGGAGGGGTCTGGACGACCCCAGGATTCTACGATACCAGGTTGGCCGCGCGTGCGCCCCCAAAGGGCGCCAGGTCCAGGCAGAGTGAGAGGCGGCAACCACCGGCATGACGGAGACGGGGCGATGCACGACGAGGATGGGCCAAAGGAGGACGAGGAGGCGAAGCAAAAGCGATAGCGGCAGAAGCTCTGTTGACGGAAGGTGCTGGCCTGCTCCAGGAGCACTCGTCCTGGCCCTTGCGCGAAGCAGCGCCGAAACACACTGCGGCCGCATCCTCCCTGCTGTACTGAGGACATGGCAAGCAAGGCAGTGGGAGATGACAATCCGTTGATCAAATCGGACTAACACTGCTTGATCACTGGCAACTTCTCGTTCTCGAACGCGCGCAACGGAGAGCCCGTGTAGAGCGCCCAGTCGCCCCACGCAGAACCGGTCAAGCCGTCTTGGAAGAACATGCCGATGATCGCCATCATCGCCAGGCGACCGTTGGCGATCTCAGCCGCCAACTTCTTCTGCTTCTCCACGGGGTCGCTAGCGGTGAGCACCTTCCAACCGAAATCGCCCGCCGCCGCAGGCGTGCCCGGGGATTGGTTCTGGGACAGCTCGCAGAACGCGGCGTAGGCTACGATCTGCACCCAGCCCGCCGCCGGAACCTTGGAGATAGCGCCGAGGCCATTCGGGATGTCCGCAAACTTCAGCTCCGAGGATGGAGACAAGTACCCAGGGAACTTGCCGCTGACCTCGGGAGTGATGTAGCCCATGGTGGCCAGCATGGACACACGACCGTGCTTGAGCTCCGTCTGCCGGCGGCGCGCGAAATTCTCAGAGTTCCCATCAAATGTGAAGCCGGCTGGATCCCAGAAACCCATCGGGTCCTGCACGCCCAGCTCGCTCTCGAACGCGCGCAGCGGGGATCCAGTGTAGAGCGCCCAGTCGCCCCAGGCAGAGCCGGTCAGGCCGTCCTGGAAGAACATGCCGATGATCGCCATCATGGCCAGACGACCGTTGGCGATCTCAGCTGCCAACTTCTTCTGCTTCTCCCCAGCATCGCTGGACGTCAGCACCTTGAACCCGAAGTCACCCGCCGCGGCGGCGGTGCCAGCGGACTGGTCCTGGGACAGCTCGCAGAACGCGCCGTACGCCACGATCTGCGCCCAGCCCGCCGCGGGAACCTTGGAGATCGCACCGAGCCCGTTCGGGATGTCCGCGAACTTCAGGCCCGCGGACGGCGACAAGTACCCTGGCAGCTTGCCGGTAATCTCTGGGGTGATGTAGCCCATCGTCGCCAGCATACTCACGCGGCCGTGCTTCAGCTCGGTCTGGCGCCGGCGGGCGAAGTTAGCCGTGCTACCATCCGCCGTGAACCCAGCAGGGTCCCAGAAGCCAACTGGGTCCTGCACGCCCAGCTCGCTCTCGAACGCGCGCAGCGGGATCCAGTGTAGAGCGCCCAGTCGCCCCAGGCAGAGCCGGTCAGGCCGTCCTGGAAGAACATGCCGATGATCGCCATCATGGCCAGACGACCGTTGGCGATCTCAGCTGCCAACTTCTTCTGCTTCTCCCCGGCTCGCTGGACGTCAGCACCTTGAACCCGAAGTCACCCGCGGCAGCGGTGCCAGCGGACTGGTCCTGGGGACAGCTCGCAGCAGAACGCGCCGTACGCCACGATCTGCGCCCAGCCCGCCGCGGGAACCTTGGAGATCGCACCGAGCCCGTTCGGGATGTCCGCGAACTTCAGGCCCGCGGACGGCGACAAGTACCCTGGCAGCTTGCCGGTAATCTCTGGGGTGATGTAGCCCATCGTCGCCAGCATACTCACGCGGCCGTGCTTCAGCTCGGTCTGGCGCCGGCGGGCGAAGTTAGCCGTGCTACCATCCGCCGTGAACCCAGCAGGGTCCCAGAAGCCACCGGGTCCTGCACGCCCAGCTCACTCTCGAACGCGCGCAGCGGGGATCCAGTGTAGGAGCCCAGTCGCCCCAGGCAGAGCCAGTCAGGCCGTCCTGGACATGCGATCCCTGATCGCCATCATGGGCCAGACGACCGTTGTGGCGATCTCAGCTGCCAACTTCTTCTGCTTCTCCCCGGCGTCGCTGGACGTCAGCACCTTGAACCCGAAGTCACCCGCCGCGGCAGCGGTGCCAGCGGACTGGTCCTGGGACAGCTCGCAGAACGCGCCGTACGCCACGATCTGCGCCCAGCCCGCCGCGGGAACCTTGGAGATCGCACCGAGCCCATTCGGGATGTCCGCGAACTTCAGCCCGCGGACGGCGACAAGTACCCTGGCAGCTTGCCGGTAATCTCTGGGGTGATGTAGCCCATCGTCGCCAGCATACTCACGCGGCCGTGCTTCAGCTCGGTCTGGCGCCGGCGGGCGAAGTTAGCCGTGCTACCATCCGCCGTGAACCCAGCAGGGTCCCAGAAGCCAACCGGGTCCTGCACGCCCAGCTCACTCTCGAACGCGCGCAGCGGGGATCCAGTGTAGAGCGCCCAGTCGCCCCAGGCAGAGCCGGTCAGGCCGTCCTGGAAGAACATGCCGATGATTGCCATCATGGCCAGACGACCGTTGGCGATCTCAGCTGCCAACTTCTTCTGCTTCTTCCCCGGCGTCGCTGGACGTCAGCACCTTGAACCCGAAGTCACGCCGCGGCAGCGGTGCCAGCGGACTGGTCCTGGGACAGCTCGCAGAACGCGCCGTACGCCACGATCTGCGCCCAGCCCGCCGCGGGAACCTTGGAGATCGCACCGAGCCCGTTCGGGATGTCCGCGAACTTCAGGCCCGCGGAAGGCGACAGGTATCCTGGCAGCTTGCCGTAATCTCTGGGTGATGTAGGCCCATCGTCGCAGCATACTCACGCGGCGTGCTCAGCCGTCTGGCGCCGGCGGGCGAAGTTAGCGTGCTACCATCCGCCGTGAACCCAGCAGGGTCCCAGAAGCCGACCGGGTCCTGCACGCCCAGCTCACTCTCGAACGCGCGCAGCGGGGATCCAGTGTAGAGCGCCCAGTCGCCCCAGGCAGAGCCGGTCAGGCCGTCCTGGAAGAACATGCCGATGATTGCCATCATGGCCAGACGACCGTTGGCGATCTCAGCTGCCAATTTCTTCTGCTTCTCCCCCGCGTTGCTGGACGTCAGCACCTTGAACCCGAAGTCACCCGCCGCGGCAGCGGTGCCAGCGGACTGGTCCTGGGACAGCTCGCAGAACGCGCCGTACGCCACGATCTGCGCCCAGCCCGCCGCAGGAACCTTGGAGATCGCACCGAGCCCGTTCGGGATGTCCGCGAACTTCAGGCCCGCGGACGGCGACAAGTACCCTGGCAGCTTGCCCGTAATCTCTGGGGTGATGTAGCCCATCGTCGCCAGCATGCTCACGCGGCCGTGCTTCAGCTCGGTCTGGCGCCGGCGGGCGAAATTAGCCGTGCTACCATCCGCCGTGAACCCAGCAGGGTCCCAGAAGCCAACTGGGTCCTGCACGCCCAGCTCGCTCTCGAACGCGCGCAGCGGGGATCCAGTGTAGAGCGCCCAGTCGCCCCAGGCAGAGCCGGTCAGGCCGTCCTGGAAGAACATGCCGATGATTGCCATCATGGCTAGACGACCGTTGGCGATCTCAGCTGCCAACTTCTTCTGCTTCTTCCCCGCGTCGCTGGACGTCAGCACCTTGAACCCGAAGTCACCCGCCGCGGCAGCGGTGCCAGCGGACTGGTCCTGGGACAGCTCGCAGAACGCGCCGTACGCCACGATCTGCGCCCAGCCCGCCGCGGGAACCTTGGAGATCGCACCGAGCCCGTTCGGGATGTCCGCGAACTTCAGGCCCGCGGACGGCGACAGGTACCCTGGCAGCTTGCCGGTGATCTCTGGGGTGATGTAGCCCATGGTCGCCAGCATGGACACGCGCCCGTGCTTCAGCTCCGTCTGGCGCCGGCGGGCGAAATTCTCCGTGCTACCGTCCGCCGTGAAGCCAGCGGGGTCCCAGAAGCCAACCGGGTCCTGCACGCCCAGCTCGCTCTCGAACGCGCGCAACGGAGACCCCGTGTAGAGCGCCCAGTCGCCCCAGGCGGAGCCAGTCAAGCCGTCCTGGAAAAACATTCCGATGATCGCCATCATGGCCAGACGGCCGTTGGCGATCTCAGCCGCCAACTTCTTCTGCTTCTCAGCGGCGTCGCTGGACGTCAGCACCTTGAAGCCGAAGTCACCCGCCCCTGCCCCCCCCCCCCCCGCAGCGGTGCCAGCGACTCGTCCTGGACAGCTCGCAGAACGCGCCGTACGGCACGATCTGCGCCCAGCCCGCCGCGGGAACCTTGGAGATCGCACCGAGCCCGTTCGGGATGTCCGCGAACTTCAGGCCCGCGGACGGCGACAAGTACCCTGGCAGCTTGCCGGTAATCTCTGGGGTGATGTAGCCCATCGTCGCCAGCATGCTCACGCGACCGTGCTTCAGCTCGGTCTGGCGCCGGCGGGCGAAGTTAGCCGTGCTACCATCTGCCGTGAACCCAGCAGGGTCCCAGAAGCCAACTGGGTCCTGCACGCCCAGCTCGCTCTCGAACGCGCGCAGCGGGGATCCAGTGTAGAGCGCCCAGTCGCCCCAGGCAGAGCCGGTCAGGCCGTCCTGGAAGAACATGCCGATGATTGCCATCATGGCCAGACGACCGTTGGCGATCTCAGCTGCCAATTTCTTCTGCTTCTCCCCCGCGTTGCTGGACGTCAGCACCTTGAACCCGAAGTCACCCGCCGCGGCAGCGGTGCCAGCGGACTGGTCCTGGGACAGCTCGCAGAACGCGCCGTACGCCACGATCTGCGCCCAGCCCGCCGCGGGAACCTTGGAGATCGCACCGAGCCCGTTCGGGATGTCCGCGAACTTCAGGCCCGCGGAAGGCGACAGGTATCCTGGCAGCTTGCCAGTAATCTCTGGGGTGATGTAGCCCATCGTCGCCAGCATACTCACGCGGCCGTGCTTCAGCTCGGTCTGGCGCCGGCGGGCGAAGTTGGCCGTGCTACCATCCGCCGTGAACCCAGCAGGGTCCCAGAAGCCGACCGGGTCCTGCACGCCCAGCTCGCTCTCGAACGCGCGCAGCGGGGATCCGGTGTAGAGCGCCCAGTCGCCCCAGGCAGAGCCGGTCAGGCCGTCCTGCAAGAACATGCCGATGATCGCCATCATGGCCAGACGACCGTTGGCGATCTCAGCTGCCAACTTCTTCTGCTTCTCCCCGGCGTCGCTGGACGTCAACACCTTGAACCCGAAGTCACCCGCCGCGGCAGCGGTGCCAGCGGACTGGTCCTGGGACAGCTCGCAGAACGCGCCGTACGCCACGATCTGCGCCCAGCCCGCCGCGGGAACCTTGGAGATCGCACCGAGCCCGTTCGGGATGTCCGCGAACTTCAGGCCAGCAGACGGCGACAGGTAGCCGGGCAGCTTGCCGGTGATTTCGGGCGTGATGTAGCCCATGGTCGCCAGCATGCTCACGCGGCCGTGCTTCAGCTCGGTCTGGCGCCTCCTGGCGAAATTCTCCGTGCTACCATCCGCCGTGAACCCAGCCGGGTCCCAGAAGCCCACCGGGTCCTGAACGCCAAGCTCGCTCTCGAACGCGCGCAGCGGGGATCCGGTGTAGAGCGCCCAATCGCCCCAAGCCGAGCCAGTCAAACCGTCCTGGAAGAACATTCCGATGATCGCCATCATGGCCAGACGACCGTTGGCGATCTCCGCCGCCAACTTCTTCTGCTTCTCCGCGGCGTCACTGGACGTCAACACCTTGAAGCCGAAGTCACCCGCGGCGGCAGCGGTGCCTGCGGACTGGTCCTGGGACAGCTCGCAGAACGCGCCGTACGCAACGATCTGCGCCCAGCCCGCCGCGGGAACCTTGGAGATCGCACCGAGCCCGTTCGGGATGTCCGCGAACTTCAGGCCCGCGGACGGCGACAGGTATCCTGGCAGCTTGCCAGTAATCTCTGGGGTGATGTAGCCCATCGTCGCCAGCATACTCACGCGGCCGTGCTTCAGCTCGGTCTGGCGCCGGCGGGCGAAGTTGGCCGTGCTACCATCCGCCGTGAACCCAGCAGGGTCCCAGAAGCCGACCGGGTCCTGCACGCCCAGCTCGCTCTCGAAGGCCGCCATCACTACCTTGTGTTGTGCAGAGCCCCGCGGGGTCACCTTGCTGCCACCGATAGACAGAGCACCCCGGGCAAACAGGGCCAGGGCCGCGGACGCGCCGATCAGAGTCAGGCCGACTCCAGCAGGCGACGACGACGACTGGGAGGCAGGCGCCAGTCCAAGTCCAGACGGACCAGCGGAATCCAGAACTGCATTAGGGTGACCATGGGATCCACGTTCGCCGAGCGGCGCCACCACGAAGGCGTTACAGAACTGGCAGGCCAACAAGCCGGCGGCGCAGGCGGCGATGAGCGCAGCGACACCAGAATGCGCCATCGTTTCTTTCTGGAGAAGAGATGTCTAAAAAATCTGGTAATGGAGCTAGACGCCCAACCTTGAAAAAAACGTTGGCCAAAATGGCTGCGAAGGAAGAGGGCGGATGAGGCTTGATTGAAGTGTATCCTCAGAATCGAGAAATCGACGCGGGGACCGCCAGATGTGTACAATGTGTTCATTGTGTGCGTCCCTTTCCTTGGACATCTGAGAGGCGCTGAGATTGCGCATGACTGCCTGGCCAAGACTCAACTGCTCAACTAGGCTGACCTAAACTATCGCGGGCTGTGCTGGACTGAGCTTGATTGGACTGGGCCGCACTAGCTTGAGCCAGGCAAAGATCAACCGACCTTGGCGGAGCTAGAACAATTGGAAAGTGCTGAACCCAACTGGGCAGAGCCTGGTTGAGCTGAACTGGGCTGGAATGACCATGGTCAAGCCAGACCAGGAACTCGGCTGAGGTGGACAGAGTTTGATTGTCTCGGCCTGAACT